GGATATATTCTGGAAAATCCATCGCCGGCAAGTGGGAGGGGGTGATGACATCGATCTCCAGGGACTGGCAGCATGACCACAGACCAGTGGTGTCCAAACTTTTTTTCTTGCGGTCCAAAATTGTCGTGTTAGAATCGCTTGCGGGCCACAGGTTTTGGTTTTTAAAATATAGTTGAAAAAATAGTAAGGCTTTGTAGATCAGAATCAAAAGGCTCGCTAAATAAACCCTTTAGTAAAAAGAAATATTTTGATTTCTTCGTTATACTTTATTTGTTTTTTTCTCAGAATCAAGCCTGTAACGTGGTTCATTTTTTTGGAAAAGCTTTCTGCATTTAGAAAAAACAAGAACATACATGTTACTGAACATTTTCTATTTTAGGAATATTGTTCAGCCCTTGTTAACATGAAAAAGGCCTCGGGCCAAAATCTTCTGATTCTTCATTTGAAGTCACGGGCTGCAAAAAATCCCCTCAAGGGCCGCAAATGGCCCTCGGCCGCACTTTGGACACCCCTGCCATAGACTATCTGTGCACGACTGGAGCAATCTCCTTGCACTAAAACTACTTCATTATGTTTTCTCCACTCTTTTGATGATAACTTGAACATGTTGACCTACACCTGGCACAGATATGCTGGGGCATAAAGGCAGTAACTGTCATCTTAGCGTCAGACTCTGCTGCTTTGTCAGCAACTTCTGCAGCGATCTACTTGCTTGTCGTCATTGATTCCTTTCAGCAAGTTAAGACCCAATCTCAATACACACTTTACTCAGCCCCGCTTCACCTCTTACAGTGTGCTGAACAGTGAGAGAGACAGAGAGAGAGACCCAGGAGCAGACAGTCGTCCATGTTGTCAGGTCGTGATTTATGAAGGTAATTATAGCTCTGCTCTTCTGCATGGGCACACCGCACACTTCAAATCCCAATGAGTGATCTTACATGGATGAGAAAAAGTAAGGATTTCGAAAAAAAAAAAAAATCCTTTTAATGCCACACCCGGATGCCAAAACCCAAATGTTTGTAGTTACCAGAAACACCCCCTCATTGCCAGGAAACGGCCTCTCTACGCCCACTTTTATCACTGCCCTGCGGTGCCCAATACTTATTCTCCTACGTCACTGAGCCCGGTCTGTTGGCACTGAACGTTGCCCTTCATATAATCCAAGTTTATTTGGTCTTGTGCCTCATGCCAGTGATGAAATACAATTACAGCACTGTAACAAAAAGGCCATTTTATGAACCATGGAGCTGTTTGTCCATGAATGACCTGGATGGCTTGGATGACCTCAAGAAGGAAAACAGTAAAGTATATGGATACAGTTAAAGATTACTTTAAGTCTCATATTCAGTAGCTTAAAGGCAAATGTAATTTTTCAAACTAAAAGATGACTGATTCTATGTTACTTGGGCAATATTCTTAACAACAAAACAGGAATTTGAAGGAGATAAATCAGGAAGGGAAAAGAAACAGGAGATATAACTAGAACCAGGAGTGTTTCTTTATCTTTTCACAAACCTCAGAGTGAGAACACACATTGGATCTCTTGAAAGAGTGCAGGGATGATTTAATAAGAAAAGGAGAATGTGAAATATTTCTTAAGCAGATTATTTTCATTACCCCGACCCACCAAAGCAAGAGCACTTTCCGCAACAGCCCTGAGTTTCCTGCAGGGCTTCTACATGAGGACCTCACTATGTTCCTTTTAATAGCCATGACTGGGGCACAAATTACACAGATGTGAAGCAGCCTTTGGGGCTCAGTTAGCTCATTTCCAGACTTAGTCACATGATGGGGGTCACATGTTCCCAGACATCATCCAGCTGGGTTACTTCCTCCCTCTGTGGTCACATGAGGATTCATTGACTTCATTGTGGCTGTACGATGTGCCCCACATGGAGATGTATTAATCACGGAAACACTGATAGTGGTGTTGTTGTTCAGCATGCATGTTTTCCTTCCCTAATCCATAGAGACAGGCTGTTGTTATACAGTCTGGACCAGATCGTTTGAAGACCATGATGACTGAACTAAATACTTCCAAGGTTTGATCATTTGCACACAAAAAAGATCTGGTTTGAAGAAATCTTTCTCTCGTACCCAAGAAACCATTTTAGAAAGAGCTATTGAGGGAGGAGTGAGCGTAAAAGAGAGGAACAGGGTGCTGTGTTTTTAGTCATACCGGCCCCCTCTGCTGTGAAAGGGTCCACTTTGAGTCAGTGTGAGCGCTGCATCCTCCAGGAATGTGTTGCAGTTGCAGTGTTTGCATAGGCAGGGAGTGGACAGGGAGGGGTTACACTGGGCTTAAAGCCTCTGTATCCATCATTTAACATAGATATTAAGCCTGGATGGCTACATTCAAAACCAGAATCGAAAAAATGACAGGGACAAATGTGTTCAGGATCCATCATGTTGATGTACGATTCTCCCTGAACCCGACTGTGGTTGTGTGCATCTAAACTCAGTCGGTCTTTAATGCGTGTCTGTGCAGAGATTGTAGCTCTTTAACATCCTTTGCCAAAGCACAGGCACTCCCTTGGGTTAGGGATTGTTGGTAAAAGGAAATCATAATGACAGGAGCTTTAGCTAAATCCCCCACTGTTCAGCATTACACAAGACTGTCCTGGTGAGTAGGCCAACTTAGGTCACTACTTGATATGTGATACAGGGTGTAAACTAGAGATGTTCTGATTCTGATTTTCCTCCTCTGTATCGGCTCTGATACCTGACCTTAGTTCTGCTGTTGAACTCATTGTAAAAAGAAGATTAAGAATACATGCTGCATATCTGTATTTTTATGTCATAGTTTGAGAGACATTCTGAACTGGAAATCTTTTATTAAAACATAATTGTATTATATGGTCTGTTCATTTGGAGAGAAGTAGACTTCTGTTGTACAGTCTTGTGTCTTGGAAAACTGTGAGTTCGGAGTAAAATAGTAGATTTTTTGAGGGGCTAATAATTTATTATAAAAGATTGTGCATACAAGGGTCTAATCCCACAACTATGGCTTTATTTAAAGCATTTCAGATATTGATTTGGTACATCCTTCGCCCATGCACTATGCACAAATGAGTACATGTTAATACATCAGACATGACATTTCTTGTATGCGATCCAGCTGACGTTCTCATTAGACAAGCTTTGTTTAAAGATAACATTCATTTATTTCACAACAGCGCTTTGTATCCCACGTTGTCTCTCTCTCCCATGTTGCCAATTTTAGATGGGAAAGTGATGTATCACCTCACATTCAGCCTCATACATTGTTTTTGGGGCCTAAGAAACAATGGCAAAATCCAGCTCACTGAGCAGCATCTATAAATTAACTGACCTACATGAAGTCCTAACCTGCCATGCTGCCAAAAACTGCATGTCTGCAGGCGATCTGTTCGGGGGCCGTTGGGGTTGGGTTGAGGCTTCTACGCAAAACTATCAATCTCAAAGATGAGTGCAAAACAAAACACTGACGCAACATGACAGAAAATGGAATCTAAATGTTCCTGTTTTACTCTAAACTGTATCCAGATAGAGAGTGAGAGCGTGGATTCAATATACCAGCTAGATGAAATACTGAGGTCTGATGTGCTGCAGGGAGGTTTAATGTTGCCCTACTGAAAGGACTCACAACACAAACACACATGTAAACGTATGCACCTCAAGTATGCAAGCACATGCTGGCATATATGCAACAACAGCAACGAGAACAAGTGGAAGTGGTTATGCAAGTCCATGTCTACAACAATAACACCACAAGCACACGTAAGTGCTGTGCATTGTGACTTTCAGTGTCTGCAGCCTTTAAGCTCAGCCCTCTTTGGCAGACGGAGTGGAAGAGCTCTTGACTGATTGTTTACTATCTTAATTAAAGTGAGACATTTCATGTGCTAAATAGGGGGCAGAGATTGCCTTAGTTTACAATCGGGTGATAAAGGAAACGGCCTTTCTTTCTTCCAATGAAGCTGTGATAAATATGATTCAGCTCTGCGTGCTGACTGGTGATATTGCAGTGCACAGAAGCTTTAAATCTGAACACACACAAAACCTCTTTACTATCAATCTCTCTATTTGTCATAGAAATGCAAAACTATAATGCCTAGCAATTTGATCAACGCCGGGTAAACAACCATTAACTAACAGAAGGCAAGTTAAAAACAATCAACAGTATCATCGACAAATCCACCTACACGTCCATGTCACACTCTCTTCCACAGGGCTGCTCTTGCTAGATGCTGCCATGCATGCAGCTACAAACAAAGCCTTGTGTGCTTCCAAAGTGGGCTGCCCGCTAAAAGCCTAAATATTGCAAGTGTTTTATAATGTTCAACCCCTGTGTGTGTGTGTGTGTGTGTGTGTGTGTGTGTGTGTGTGTGTGTGTGTGTGTGTGTGTGTGTGAGTGAGGGAGGCTCTTCCACAGTTTACTTTGCTTTGATTTCTTTGGCCTTAAAAGTTCCCCCATTACAGAGTGTGGTGTCAGGACAGCAGAAACCCAAACAGGGGAAAACGGCCGAATAACACCGAAGCAAATGCAAATGCTCAAGGGTCTGTTTGTGAGAGGCAGCTGTCCTCTTCCTCTTTTTGTCTTACCCAGAAAAATGAGTATTGTGCATCCCAGCTGATACAATGAAAAATTGGGGGTTTCATTTATCTACACGCCTATCTTTCTCGCCCCCTCCTTCTCCCATACTCTCTCTCTCTCTCTCTCTCTCTCTCCCCCTCTGTGTGTGTGGCTGCTGCGGCTGCATGCCTGCCTCTGTGTTTATTTCTGGAAGCTCACAACATGGCCGACATGTGCTTTGTTATTGTTAGTACATCATCCCCTCTTTGCCTACAGGGGGGCTGCTTCTCAACCCTTCACCCGACCCAAAACAAAACATAAAACCTTCAAAACACACATTCACATTCTCCACCAAGAGAACAATACATAGCATCAAGAGAGTATTATTATCACCCCCCCCCCCCCACTCCTCCTCCTCCTCCTCCTCCTCAATCCTCACACTCACCATTTGATGATGATGGCCATATGGAATATTTGTTTCTTGAAAAAAGGCACTGAGAGCAGTCTGAAATAAAAGGACACACAATATGAATGACATGGTTAAGGGCACTGAAATAGCTGAGGACAAAGACTCACTGATTGGTGGAGGGGAAACCTAAACAATAGAATGAGCTTGCGGTGGGTGGAGATAAAAAATAAACAAATAAATTCGTTATATTGGGTTCACCGCAGACTAAACAAGCTCTCTTTAGTAGACAACACGGCGGTCATCTTTATTGCGTAATAGGTCTCGTCGGCCTCGCCTGTCATGTGTCGGATTATAGTATTTAATCTAGAGTAAAGTCTAATTGGATATGCTAGCTAGTACGCTTCGCCCTATACTATGTTACCGTGTCCACAGGAGATTTAGCAAGGCAATAGCACATGGAAATAAACATTAAATGTTGCAAAAGTTTAGTTTCTTTTTACCTCGAACTGCCAATGTGCCGCCTGCAAAAGCTGCTTCGCCTGGTCTGCCGCACAACCCGCCGTCAGGACGAACTGGTTAATCATGACTTGATGTTTGAGTTCATCCATTTTCGACGAAGTCCGTGTCGACTTGGCTCTGAAACAGACTTTCAAACCGTGTTCCTCTTTCTTCTCTCTAGTTGTATTCCGTTTCCCCTGCTTCAGTCGTCCACCATTACAGCCGGGTTGAGCAAACACAAATATTTACTGTAGGAGCGGTAGTGGAAGAAGGAGCAGTGCTTGATTGACAGGAGGGAGCAGCCAATCAGAGGAGAGCCATGCCGGTGGGATTTGTATGCTTGCTAGCGGAGGGGTCTCGAATCGGCGTGTCTTTAGCCGTCTGTTAAGGGTTTATTTTAACACCAAAGGGCATGTTTAATCAAGGCTGTTCATCCTACGAAATTGTTTTTAAATTTGTGTTACATGTGCGACATTTGAATGACCGCGAATGGGGTTAATGGCCCACTCGACGGGTCGCAGAAACGGTTTGTTTGGACTACAAGTCCCGTGAGCCCGCGCTTTGTTTGTAAAGCTTCAGGAGGCAGACTTTTGTGAATGACGGCTGCTCTCGTCCAATTCCCAGGCGCACTGTGTCACTACCTTGCCAAATATGGTAAACAAATACACCATCGCCAATTAAATCGCTCGGAGTTAAATTAGGGACAGCCAACAGGGTGCATATCAGAAGCGTCGTGTCTGCCTGGCGCACTTCTCCTTAGAATAAACTACTTATTCTCTTAAGTGTCGGTACCGCAGCTCACTGCAGCGACATCCATATTTCTCCTTGTATGTTGGATATTAACCCAGTAAGCTGGAGTCTTCATTGCTTGTAGGGCAAATCCAGGCTTGCTCAAAGGACACTACAGCCGGTTATGTTGATAGATGACACTTGATGTGAATTAATGCCACTATAAAGAGAATAGATGGCCATACGGACGCATATTATTATTATTAACGGCTTAATTACCCTGTAACCATAAACTGCTGAAATTAATGGGTGTGTAATAATGTGCCATTTATTATAACAGGGCGTTTTCCTTTCTCTTTTATGGTAGTTAGAAGTCTCAATTTAAAAAAAACGAGAGGAGAATGTAGACGTGTTGTCATTTAGATAAAGTTAACTTGAACCATAATGAATCACTGAAGTTGTGCAATTTTAGAAATACTGATGTGGATAGATCACGCTCAGTACGGGAAATATACGCGTCGAAAGAAGCAGTGCAGAATGTGTGTAAAAGCAGCCATATGAAATCAACACACAGCACTCAGAATCGTGGGTAACTGTATACTGTAAACATCTTTTATCAATGGCATGTTTGTAGCAGCTGTGTGAGAGGTGATGGAGGAAAGATTGGAAACAGTGACACCTGCTGGAGAAAGGCAGCACGTGAAAAAGGCATTTACTGTAGCACTGAGGGGATTTGAGGTCACTGACATCAATGGTAATAAAATCACGTTTTTACACCGCAAATAAAACTTAATGGTCTCTCAATTGCCTATTTCTTTTTCTGTGTGACCTTTGATGGACGCACTCTGGTTAACAATCTACAGTTACAACTGTGCTGCTGCTTGACCTGGTCAGGACACTTAAAAAAAGAGATTTCTAACCTCAAACATGGTTGTCCTGGTTAAATGTAGGTCAAATGAAATATAATTTCAATTAAAATAAAACATACAACTCTTTCAAAACCTAAAGTAAACTTAAGCCAGGAGAACACTTCACACCAAGACACACTTATAGGGTTTGAAGCCCTTAGCCTATAATAAAGTGTTTGCTTTTTTCTTAAGTGTTAGTTAAACAAAATTGATTCTGAATACAATGTAAAGAAACTCAGTGGGAAACTAAACTAAAAGCCAAATTAAAATAGTTGCTTTGCCTTTAGAAGAGAAATGGAAAAAATATTTTCCTGTTCTAAAGAGAAAGCAGAGACAAATCCTAATGAAGAAAGAAACAAAGAAAGAAAGGTTATGTGGTCAATGCCGGCATGTCTCAACTGTTTTATTGTAGCATGTAAAATTGTAATACCAAAATCTTTAAGCTATAAGGTAAGAAAAACAAAACGTAACAAGGAAGTATCTAGGAATGTCTATATTGCCACAAGTTTGTTTAGTCACTATCTTTCTTCCTTGTTGAGTCCCACACTCTGTCATCCAAATGAGTTCATGGACTCATTTGGATGCATTTCTCCTGCCCTGATGTAACATGCCATGACCCTAATTCCCCCCAGTAGATCTACAGTAGCCATAATGTATGTGTGCTTAGTTTCTGTTAAAGGACAGCCAAGTGACAATGAGAACAGCTGTCCAAACATTTACCTCCCTCAGCAGCAAGCCCTTTGTCAAGAACCTGAACAAACCTGGAGCTCTCTTTTTTTTTTTTTAATCAAGCCTCCTTGACGGGTGCAACAGCTGGCCCGACATATCCGGTTTTCTTCAAGTGTCTCAGCGTAGATTTTGCCGCCCATCCATCTTGGGTGCCCTACAAAAGAATGCCAGCCCTTGTCAGACTGTGCACTCAAAAGTCTTTACCACAGCTGACGTGTTGACTAAATCTGTTTGGGGAGGAAGAGTGATGGCATGAAAAGCTTGAGAAATTCTCAAGCTTTTTCGGAGCAAGAGCCGTCATAAATGCATGTAGGCAAGTATTATTGCATACCCAGATACATGTCTTCAAGGAGGAGCTTTTTGTGCACCAACATGTATAGATAGAAGGGAATCTGTGAATGAATATGTTGTACCTGAGGTGAAGACATGTCTTGGTTTTTTTAAATCTTCGGTTGTATAACCTAGGTGTTCAAATGGGTCAGGCTTTGACCCTGGACCAGCATGTGATTAGTTTGCTCCGCTCCTCTTTTTACCATCTAAGAAACATAGTGAAACTCAGACCTGTTGTATCCAGAGATGATTATTCATGCCTTTGTTTCATCAAGACATGATTACTGTAATTCTCTTTTCACATGTCTTCTAGCATCACATTGTTGAACGTGGTCCAAAAATGCTGCCACAAAATCTCCTAAAAGGACTCATGTTACTCCAAAACTTTTAGTCTTTGCACTTTCTTCCCATTCATTTAAGAATCCAATTCAAAATGTGTGTGATTGTGTATAGAGCACTGCATGGTCAGGCACCTGCTTATATTGAATAACTTTTGAAGCTGTACAACACCAGCAGGACTCTGAGGTCTTCTGATCGAGGTCTGCTGGTTGTTCAAAAACTTAAGGAGACTGTGCTTTCCAGGCTGTTTCTTCTGAACATTGGAACTGTCTCCCGCTGGAACTGAGAACTGTGAACTCTGCGGACATTTTTTATTTATTTTTTAAAGCAGGTGAAGTCCCATTTATTTTGACTTGTCTTTATTTGAACTGTATGTGTGTTATTATGTAATCATCTGTATTTAATGTTGTTTTATTTATCTTTTATTGTGAAGCACTTCTGCTCTTGAAAGGTGCTGTATAAACTATCTATACTTACTTATTCATGTACTTACTGATGACCAGGTGAGTATTTTTTTCACTCCCTCAGATGCCTGGTGCAGTGTTGGCATCTCAAGTGCAATGATGTCACAAATAGCACAGGGTTGTAACAAGTGACTTCTATTTGTCTGAAATGGTTTATAGCATCCCAGCCTTAGCCAGAAAATGGAGCAAACACACAAGAAATACACTTAACCCTAGAACACTAACAGTTTTGTAACACCATCACTAACGTTGGGTATATTTTACCCGATATAATATACCTGATAAAAATACTTCACATCAAAATATATTAAAGTACAACAATACATGGCAAATTGAAGTACTCTTTTTTTTTATTTCCCCGTATACAAAGTCTCATAAAACGATGGGGGGACCCTATAAAATAAGTGAAAAATTAGGGAATCCTTGATGAAATATTCCTTAAAAAATAATAATAATTGAGCTGTGAACTTGTTTTTCAGTCCACTTGTTCCTGGGACATGTGAGCCTTGTCTGGTAAAGGTTAAGTCTCTGACTGCATTACTGACAAGTGTGGGAAATATTTTACTCACTATCATTAACAGGTGCCTGTTGAAAAAAAAAAAACAGCAGGGAAACACGCCTATACCTTCAATGACGTCAAGGGGCAGCCTGAAGCTACCCAAGGACCAACGCAACTCAGACAGCAGAAACACAATGACATTCAACTGACTGCAATCACTCCAGTGAAAATCACCCAACGTTAGTGTTCCAGGGTTTTAAAGGCCTGATATTTACATTTGCAGAAAGAAACATTGCTGTCTTGAATGGAGAGTCTATTCTTGCTGCCTAAATAGATAAGCCAAAGTTAGGAAATATTTTAGCATTCAACAAGACTTTTTACACTTTGTAGGCCAATGTTCTCTTAGGCATATTCCATAACCATATGTATCATATACTAGCATTATGGTTTGAAAACAAAAAGTGTAAAGGTCATGCACATTACATCCCTTACACAAAAGAGTACATGTAAAAAGAATACAAAGAACAGACTTACCGCCTTTACCAGCTTGACTTACAGACTGATTTGTTGAACTGCACCCCTACATACAGCATATCATTCAGTTATTTCTCACTGTAGCAGCCCTCATGCTGCATATTATCCCAACTGAGCAGAGCAACTGAGCATATTCTTTATATTATCTGTAAACTAGTATAGCATGCTCACTGCATCTTAATCTGTATATTATTAGTATAGCATGCTCACTGCACCTTAATCTGTATATTATAATCCTAAAAATACACTTATTTTGTAGCATTACTTATTTATAGCATTTATTTATATTTATAGCATCCCATTAATCCAGCCATCCAGATATACCTAATAATTCACTTTTTTTGTCTACATCTGTAAATTTTGTAATTACTGTACATAGCACAGAATTACTGTACATAGCACAGAATTACTGTACATAGCACAGAATTACTGTACATAGCACAGACTCTTGCACTCAATTACTGTACATAGCACAGACTCTTGCACTTTCTGCTTATTTGCACTTCTGGTGAGATGCCAAACCTCATTTCGTTACTCTATACTTGTATATGTGTAATGACAATAAAGTTGAATCTCATCTCATCTCAGCATTACTATGCGGATTTGCAATCAGGTGTAGCTGCAATACCGTATTTATCCACAGAGTGGCAGTGTTTCCTAAAGATTGAACAGTGCTGATGTTGGCCTTTGTGCTGTAGGTGCACCTGCATGAGAACATACTGACACAAACAATGACTGGTTTTGATCTCTCTATACAACAAACATGCATTGTATTTTGTCGTGCATGACAACATGTTTTATTCTCAGGGTTGATTAACAAATCTTTTAATTTCGTTTTAACGTTTCCATTTTACAATGTTACTTTTGCTCTAAAGTCGTAAATTCACATGTTTAATAAAATGAATACAAATACATGCATAGCTTGGTTGCTGTAAGGTGGTCTAACGTAATTGGAACTTGCAAAACCCTCATTAGAAGAGTTTTCTAACACCGCAATTCGATCATAAATGGCCAAAATGTTCCACTAAGGCATCCTCTGTGCCTGGGCTGAAACGTGTTCCATTTCCTTCAATATACAACAAATGATTGTGCTTGTGCATTAACGGGAGTTTGTTATTGTTTTTTCAAGTGTACCTTTAACAAAGGTATGGCACTGGTAGAATTCGATTAATCGTTAATCGAGTTGATCACTTAACTAACCGATTATTCAAAAAGCAGGAACTTAATCAACACGTGCCTTCTCAGGCTTAAAGGGTTACACTATCTTCCACAATAGAGCAAGGTAAACACAGGATTATCAGTTCAAACGGGTTCTTTCTTTTGTGCGCTACGAGCGGGACCTGTGGCGCGTCCAGCACCGGAGAGGAGAGGAGGGAGGGGAGGGGGGGGGGGGGCGCGCGCCGCAGAGGTCACATTTCAGTGTGTTCGGGATGCAAGACAAAGATTAAAGGCAGAGCATCGAGAAACGGACTTCTCTGAAAACAACAGTGAGCACTTGTTCGGCTGGAAGCTCCTACTTATTGTGTGTTAGTTTGTGACTGACGGAGACAGTGTGTGTGTGTGTGTGTGTGTGTGTGTGTGTGTGTGTGTGTGTGTGTGTGTGTGTGTGTGTGTGTGTGTGTGTGTGGGGGGGGTGTGTGTGTGTGTGTGTGTGTGTGTGTGTGTGTGTGTGTGTGTGTGTGCATGTGCGTATACGTGTGTGTTAAAATGAAACCTGGAGAAGCAAGGACAGCCAGCCAATCAGAAACCCCCTCAGGCGTTTAAAGGGATGGTGGGCAGTCTCTCGGGCTTCATGAGCTCCTTATTTTCCATCCTCCACACATTCTGACGTCTTGACCTTCCACAGACACACACACACACAGCCGAGCGTTTGGATGAGTAACATCCTCATTCTGCCCATTCTTCGGCATGGATCTGTCCTAAGTGGCGTTTTTTTTTTATTTTTTACCCTCTACTTTTTCTCCTCACAAATGAGCTGCTACTGGATGCGACTTGCCCTCCCCCCGCTGCACTTGTTGCGCAGAGACTAGATGCGCCGCTGAGACCTTGGAGAGGAGAGGAGAGGAGAGGAGAGGCAGGGACGGACTGCAACAGGTGCACACTGAGAATCTCCTCCGAAAAAGGCTGCACCGGAGGTAGGAGCATTACGCAGCTATTTTTGCGGATTCATTTATTGCGCTTTTGGATCTGACAGCTCAAATCCATGGTTATTTATTTTCCACTTAAGTGACATTTTCGTTTTTTCTTTTTTTTCCACAAACTTTAGATGCCAATCTGAAGTCTTCTTTAGCCATCACCGCGTGCAAAAACCCAGGATGCCGGTTCTCACGAGCCCCGACATCGCCAACAAGTTCAAGGAGAAATGGTTGGCGGTTTACCCAGAGGACCAGGTCAACGGGTCCGACTCGCCCCCCCTGGACGACAGCCTCACCAGCCTCCACTGGCTCCAGAATTTCTCCATCCTCAATGCCGACCCGGAGCGACCAAGCGGCGCCGGTCCGGGCTGCCCGTCCACGCAACAGCACCTCTACCTGAAGCGCCTCGGCTTCCCCAGAGTTGGCACCGACTCTCCGTCGAGCCCCCCAGCCGGAGACACGGCTTCAACCGGGATGCCCGTGTACCTGGGGAGCCCCGTTACCTCCGGCAGTGACTCTACGCGGTTCACAAATTACGCACATCCGGGTCCCAGCTACCCACAGATCCCTATCCAGGCGAGTCCACCCGTAGAGATAGACTACAAAACCAACCCCAAAGTCAAACCGCCTTACTCCTACGCGTCTCTCATCTGCATGGCCATGCAGGCCAGCAAGCAGCCCAAAGTGACTCTGTCCACCATCTACAACTGGATCACGGAGAATTTCTGCTACTACAGACACGCGGAGCCCAGCTGGCAGGTAACCGAGACTCCAACTCTTCTTCTATTATTGATGAGTCAGATAAATGGTGAGGTGAGGGAGGGGAAGGGTTGAGCAATTGATCTCAGTGTCACCGTCAGAAACAAAAACAAAATGTGTCTTAAAGTCTTTTCTATTCTGGTCTGTTTTTTTTTGCTTTTCTTTCCAGTCTGGTTATATTTGAAACATTTTGGGCTACATGCTTGTATGTAATGTGCAACATCAGTTGATCATATGTTTAGTTGTTATCAGAGCTGGGAAATAAATCATAAAACATACTGAAAGTATATGACGCTTTCATGTTTGTTCATGAAATGGGCTCAGAAAATGTCCATCTCACAACAGAGTGTTCATGTTTTGTCTGAGAGGAATAGTGATGGGGTGAAGAAAGATCTCAAGTGTGTGTGTGTGTGTGTGTGTGTGTGTGTGTGTGTGTGTGTTTATGTGTGTGTGTTAATGAGGGCTCCTGAGAGAGATGGCAGCTAAGCACAGCTGATCATGTTTGAAATGCTCTGAGCTGCCTGTTTCTAGAAAGCCTCATTAGGTTCATTTGCTTTCCTATACAAACAACAACAATACAACCTCCCTCCTCCCCCTCCTCCTCCCGCTCTCTTCTTGTCTCCCTTACACGTTCACTTTTTTGCATGACTAACTCAAATTCACTCAAAGCCAATGGGGACCGTGCTAATTATCCCTGTTCTACGTGTGTCTTTGTTGCAGAATTCAATTCGTCACAACCTGTCCCTCAACAAGTGTTTCAAGAAGGTCCCCCGGCAGAAAGACGAGCCGGGGAAGGGGGGCTTCTGGCAGATTGATCCGCAGTACGCTGACATGTTTGTCAACGGGATCTTCAAACGCAGGAGGATGTCGGCCAATCACTACAACAGCAGCAGCAGCGGCGGCGGCCCCCACAGACAGGGCAAACTGCTCCAGGGTTATCACAGCGTCCAAAATGGCTGCCCTTACCAAGCGGTGGGCGGGAAACAGAAGAGCCTCTATTCTAAAAGCTGCGGCAACAAGACGACGAGGGGGGCGGAGTCTCCTCTGTTGGGGACGGACGCCCACAAAGCGGACATCCTGAGAGGGGACTTCGACCTGGCGTCCGTTTTTGACGACGTCCTCAGCGGGAACTGTAGCACCTTCGAGGATTTGGACATCAACACAGCGTTGAGCTCCCTCGGGTGCAACATGGAGGTGTCCCTGCAGGGCAGGCAGCAGCACCCGGCGGGGCTGGGGAGGTGGTGCGGAGGCGTTGGCGGGGACATCGTGAGTCAAAGCCAACAACTGAACCACCACCAGTCCTACGCTTACATGGACATAAACGCAATTTCCATGGATTGCACTGCAAGCATGGGGCAGGTCCAGCTCACGCCCCAGCAGCAGCTGGACCAGGACCAGCTGCTCCAGAGCCAGCACCACCTGCAGCAGCAGCAGCAGTTCGACGAGCCCGCCGTACTGTTCCCGGAGCAGCCGGAGGATGCGGTGCTGCAGCCCTGGGAGGAGATCAAAGTGGAGGCGCAGGCGGTTCCTCTGACTCTGGATCAGGGCTTCAGCCTGTGCGAGGGCTTCTTCTCAGAGATGCAGCCATGGGAACGAGTGGAGGCCTATCTGTGATATTTACCCCCGAATTGACTTCTAATAATTTACCCAACCACTTGAACATCCATGATTACAGGCCCAAACTCCAATCACTCTGAAACGGATATATAACGAAGTATAACCCTTGTGACGGTTACAGCTACACCCAAGTTACATCTATATTCCCTCCAGTCACTCTGCAATACACTGTATTTTATAATTGTTATTCTGCAACAATGACTTGCTTTTTTGTTAAATACAACATAAAATCATCCTGAAGTGGGACTGTGAAGTGAACCCAGCTAAACAACCATTCCCTAAAAGACAGCATTGATCAGACAACATGATGAGGGATTCTTTTCTGACATAGACTCCCCTTTTCTTCCTGAGGATGACAAGTGATTGGCATTAAAAGACACAACACTGATACATATGACACGATGATATCACTTTTCAGCAGCTTTTATGAACCAAATTAAAGTTACATGGTGAACGACAAGGACTTATCACACTCTGGGAAGTGATGAAAAAATGACTGTGTGCAGGAACACAACAAATGCTTCTCCTTTACATTATGGAAATAATAACAGCACAGGTGTAAGGTAGAGGGTAAGAATAGAACATGTTCAAATAAGTGCTGAAATGCAGCTTTTTGTATTTTTTTTCTTTTTTGATGAAATGATGACAAAGGCAGGAGTAAAGTGAAGAACCCCCAGACCACCTTCTTTCAAAGCACTCTCCACAACAAGCACTGTCGATAAAAGACTGAGGAGGCATGGTGGAGTCTATTTTGCTTCATGAACATAATCCTTTTTTCTTTTTTCTTTTTTACTAACATGCAGCTAAATCCTCTATTCATCTCATTTGCCTTTGTCATGTCATGATGAAAGTTATCAGAGCGAATGAAGACGAGGAAATCTTTCACATCATAGTCTGAGAGTAGTCACTTACGACTTTGTTTTATAGTCAATTGAATATATATTCACTGAAGAATATAGCATGAAGCTAGGCAGGAACATTTGCCATTTGTCTACAGTTCTGTATTGCAAAACAGGGGAGAGGAGCAGACCTGTATTGGATTGTGAAAATGAAACATTATGCACTTTGATAGGAAGCAGTTTGAGGAAAGCAGGACAGTTTTTGTTTAGTTTGACTTTCTATCACATTTAAATGATGTGTTCTTAAGTTTACTTACCATTATTACAGCGATGCATCTGCAGTTTTGTCCATGTCAGCTTTGAACAGCGAGCTCAAAACGGCAATAAATCAACTTGGCAAGAGTTTTATATATATATATATATATATATATATATGTTTTTTCTGGGCTTTTGTTGATCGTATATATCGCCAAATTTGTTGATAAAGGATATGCAGTTTATTGGTGTTTATGTGTTGATTTATATAAAAAAAAAGGGAGTTCCGTTTCTGTCACTGAGTGACGGATTCTCCTGATTGATTCAATACGAGCAAGTCTTTATTTGTATGGTTTACTTCACAAATCGGAATTTCAAGATATGTCTGAGAGAATAATTACTATTAATTTGAAGGAATAAATGATGGACAGATTCATGTAAATTCAACTGTAAAAGGATTTTCTTATTGTATCATACTGATCAAGTTTGAAATGAACTCTTTAATCTTACTATGTTGTTTTCATTTGTACTTTTTTAAGCTGTTTAAAAATGCAATCATGCCTTGATGCAATAAATGGTGTCAATTAAAATAAGATATATAACAAAAAAACATTGTCTATGTTATCACTTGTTATACACACACACACACACACACTCGCGTGTGAATGAGTGCAGGATATAAGGCTGTTCTGTTTGAGTTAGAGCTCTTTGTGAGTGCAATCAAGAGATAAAGAGGTCTATCAGGGTTTATCATTAATCAGCATGGACAGGTCTTGACTTGCTTGGTATATGAACCATACAGAGGGGAGATATACCATAGCTTCTTAGCCATAAAATTTAAGCTCATGTTACCTCAGTCATACATTAAGCCTACAGCAAAATACACAACACTAAATTCTTCCTACAGCAAGGCAATTGTTTGCTTAATATCTATAGGCCAATATAAACTTTGTATAAGACTATTTTGGCAGGACATTACTATTTACCTCATTCATGTATGGCAAGGACTACCCTCTGTAGTGAGTGGCCTATATTAAATGGGTTTGGTGCAACTGAAGGAGCAAAAATTTGAGGAAGAAAAGGTAAAAAAAAACAACAGCTATTTAAAATCAAATAAATAGGCTTTAAAAATATACAAGCATTTCTCATGTTCCAATGTTTTGCTAAAAACACCAACAAGAGGTTTTAGCCATGTTAGCAACTAGGCACAGTGGTGCTCTTAGCTAAATGCTAACATCAATGCAGACATTCTTACAATGACACTTCTAACAGGCTGTTGTTAGGCTGGTGTAATGTTTACCATGTTCAACATCTTAATTAGCCTAAGTGTGCTAGCATGATAAACGGTTAACTACTAGCCATTACAATTATGGAAAACAAAATCTCAACATTCGCAACATGTGTAAGCCAGTGGATAATAGAAGACAAAATGTAAAAGTTTATAGCTTCAATAAAGCCTAGCAATACTAAGGGCTAAATGCTACATGCTAACAAAGTCAAGTAAAGTGGTGTTTCAAAAGTTCCTAGCTAATTCCTGGAGTATTTCAGAGTGGAACAGAGTCGGAAGGCAAAACATATTCTTTGGAGGAATTTTATGTGAATGTTGAAAAAGACAATCGGTTTATAACAAAGACGTGATGCCTTGAAGGTCCATCAGGTAGCAGTATTTCTGAGGGATTCCATCATTTTTCCAAGAAGGACAACTAAAGAGGCTCACCATAGATTGCTACGTTCAGAATCTGCAACTCGCACAGTAAATCACATTAATTGAAAGTAAATGAATCCTTCTCTGCAGGCCCGTAACAGAGTAGTCTGACAACGTTTGAGGTGGAAAAGACCCCAAACATTTTTGGACTTTGTTGCTAGCTAGCTAGCTAAATTTGGCACTAACATTTTAATATTGATGGTTAGATGTGATTAGATTAATGGCCAATATAAGGGCGAATCAGAAATAAAACAGAAAGCTACACTAAGCAACAACAACAAGGAATTCTGACACATTCCCAATCAATAATGTTGATTGGGAATGTGATCTTTTAGCCATAAAGTCGCACTCACAGTCCTACTGATCAATGTCAATCTGTCTTTAAAACAAATTTATGATCACAAAACAGTTTTTACCTGATGAAGTCATTTGTAAAGTTAACAGATCAAAGTGGGAGGCAATCAATCTAGAAAGGTATTTTCTTTGAAATGTTCAAATTCTAGACAACCCCACTTATATGGCAGAAAATATAAAGAGACATTAAAGTTAGCCAACCAGCTTTTGGAATGAAATACATAAAATAAACAAATGAATAATTAATTATTTATTAAGCGATGTGAATGAGTGTCTCCAGGCAGGATGTCCAAACTGTAGAGTTGCTATATCAAAATCCTTTAGCAGATTTCTGAGCCAGGTCACACAGAGAACAATCAATTTTTAAGCTCTATGCAGCTATTTAAAAGTTAGGACCCTGGAATCACTTTAGGAAGAGGATAAATGGTTCTAAAATCAACACTTTTGTCATCACTGGGAGTGTATCATATCAATATGCAGAAAGAATTATGGTAAATTATGGTTTGAACGTTTTCTGTTCGTTTCAAAAAGGGACAATATTTCTGAGCAAAAGCAGTATGGGTTATAAGAGAACAAAATGTTGTATGCCATAACAGAGAAATTGACTACATTAAAGAAACCAATGGGATACAAAAGTGTTTAAAGATGGTGAATGAGAAAGAAAATGTCACAGATTTTAAAAGTGACAAAGCACGAAACCTCAATCAGGTGCTGTAGTGATATGCATGGCCCCACTTCTCCATCAATGGAAATGTTTGTCTTATTTAAGAAAGCAAAGGACCTAGTCTTCCTGCATCCACCAGAGCGATCCATACCACATGTTACCTCCCATCAAATAGTTCTCAGTCTAACGTGTTAGTAAATGCCGTCTTATACCACCACACATTTTCTCACCCCTTTCCAGGATTTTGTTTGCATGCCCGGTATGACAATGTGCTTTTCCACCTCAAATCTCTTTTTAATTGAAATTGTAAGAGGAAAAGTTAAGAAATGCGGCTTATCCCCGTCCCTCTGGCACGCCGCTCCCAGCGTCAACAGGTCATGTGTGGAGATCTCCAGGAATGGGTGGAATAACTCAGATTCCTTCAAACAGCGGGATCTACAGCCTGATCCGAGACTGAGGCGTGCGACCACTGGCCACCTTATGCGAAGAAAATCACTCCAGTTGATACAGAGACTGACCTTGTGCCGGCTACATGCCATTTTATACCCATTGTAGGCCGAGAGTTCACTTTTATTTGCAAAAGCCTAGCCAGTCCAGGCAGATGGATGTTCATCAATGAGTCTGGTTCTGCTCATGGTTTCTTTGTAGTCTTCTAGTAGTAGTACTGACCATTCATCCATCAGCAGGCTTTGGTGTTTGCAGGAGGAACAGTCCATACAGTCCATATGGAAAGCAGAAGTTAGTAGTATGCAAGCCGCAGAAATAGAGTCTTGGCTCCAATTGGCAGTAATCTGACAATTGATTTTTGATAAATGTAGGTCTACCAACAGATATTTGCATGCAAGTGCAGCTTACTTATCTGTTTTAGATCAAACATTTCAACCAATAAAACAATCTGTTCAGAGCTGTTGCAATCAGCATTTACATTACATCAAAGAATGCAAAAATGTTTAACCATTATTTATTTTGTTTTTTTAGAATTGTTTCCTACTCTTCTAAAGTACAGACATGACAAAGCTTGCATTTTGTCTCTTAAGCAATTGGCATCATTATGTTTCTGCAAACATAAGACACATTACTTGTGAGCAAATCACAAGAAAGTACATTTAAAGTTTGCCAGAGTGAAGCCTCTGTGTAACCTATTAATACAATTACAATGAGACTCACCAGAAACAGATGAAGGGGGCATTCCTCCGAGGGATGGAATGAGCAAGGAGAAGCAGCGTTTATTTAAGGGGTGGTTTTTCTTTCACTTTTGATCAGAGCGTATGGTGAC